CCTTCCTTCCCAGATTTGAAACAAAGAAATAATCTTAGGAACTTCCCACCTTCTAGAGGCTGAGAAAACCATGTGGAGGACATTCTGAGCTTTTGAATGGTTATTTATATGTCATAGACAGAAGTAGGTGTACATAAGCAAGTATTTCCAAAAATGAAAGAGATGGGCAAGGCCCACTGTGTTTGATTTGCTAAATGTAGTGATATTTCAGCAAAGAGATAAGACAGGAGGTTCCTATTTTATATTCTAGCTTGTCAATATAGGTAATTTGAGTTTCTAATTTATAAGAAACTACAGACTTTGTATTTGGACATCACAAGCATCTAATTTGAACCAAAGCTGCATTCAACATACCACGTGACACACAAGAATTGATATTTAGGAATTTTGTTTAATATGTATTTTTAAATTAAATTAACTAATGTATAACACTAAAATTTGAATTATTATCTATACTTTGATTCCAAACTTATTGCCATACATTCATAAAATAGTAGATCAATAAAATTTTGAATGTTAGTCTATAAACATGATGATCCCTGACCATAGGAAGACCTGCAGCGAGAGAGTTAAAGACTGCAAGCACATGCACACACAACAAGACCTCCACACCTACAGAAATTAGCCACAGATGAGCAAACTCACAACATCACACACCAATTACAATGTGAAAAATATAAAACATTGGGCAATGAAAAAGATTAGAAACTCCACAAAAGTAAAGCACTCAGATTAAAATTATATAAGCCATACATTAGCAAGCCCCAAAAACAAGCATCATATGGAATGCATTTTACAAAATGGAAAACTGGATTAAAAAAATACTCTTAAGCATGATCAGAACTGAACAGTATTTGTTTTTTTTCTCAGTGCCACACTACCACACCTTTCTAGATTCATCTACAAGTTTAGAAAAAGAAAAACAAGGCTTGAACCAATATTCTTAAAACCAAACAGGCATCACTGCTATTTTGATATTTCTCTTAGAACTATTTTACTCTGTATATAGAGCCCTGCCTCAGACCTGAGGAAGAGCTAGCACAGAGTCTAAAAATATTTCCTCTAAAACTTAAATGAAGACAAGAGTAGTCCATAGAAAACTATTTAATATGGCACTAAAATCTGTTAGATTCAGGTAAACGGTGGTAACTCAAGGATATACCTAGCCCACAGTTATCTGATCCCACAACAAACAGAGATCTGAGGACTTAGTATGATGAAGGGCAACAAGTGTACTGATTTCTTGTGGGTGGGATAAGAGAAAAAAAAGGTGATGAAGCCAAAAGGAAACACTTTATTTGTCATAAATAATTAAAGGTTGAAAACTGACCAGCGGGTGACAGAATAGTGTTGTGGTATAAAATGAATTAAAAGAAACTGTATTTAGCTGTAGGGGAACTGATGACTGCATTTAGATAAACATGACATAACCAAAACAAATCACACAAGATCAGCAGTTATTGTAAGAAATAAAATGAAACAATGATAAGATTTCATGAGCCAGTCTTAACTCTTTAAATCAGGAAATAAATATCACTGAAAATCCTCAAACTGAATTCACAATTCACCTTCCCTTTGAAACTGACTAATCTAAAAACTGTATCATAACACTCTAGATGCAGTCCTCCATGCACAAGAAAAATTAAAATATAATACAACAATATCATAAAACAGTGAATAACTTGTGTGATCAGACAATGGTACAGGATGTAAACACTTTGGGCTGAATTTAGCACATGATCTCAATCAGACTTACAAAGTTCAATGTATAAAATTTAAAAAATCCAAATCTTATAGATATGAAATATATCAATTTTCCATGTTGGAATGTTCTATTACTCTTACACAGAGTATATACTTCCAGATTATTGTGAACCAATAAAAAAACGTGAGTTGTAAATACAGTTTTGGCATTCATGACTTGAAATGGTCTTTACTTACTGTGTAAGTCTTGTCTCTGTTTCCTGTATCCTTTAGTCTGTGACTGAGTACATGTCTTTGAGTAATCTATAACCAACAGTCATAAGTTTATTTACAACTTCATTTTAAGTCCTCTTTTTGTCAAATAGTTTAATTTAATTTTCTCTATTTATTTCTACTCTGAGTTCACCCAATACAGTGTAGTAGCCCAACACTTGTAATATAGAATGGTGCTTTGTGCTATGTGCCTTCTATCTTCTTAATTAAAATGTTTTCTAATTATCTTGTTTTTGAAAGTCCTTAGTTTGAATGCACAGACTAAGTAACACTAATTTTATTCATTTTGAAAGCATGCATGATTTGAGTTTGTGATATCCAGAAAAAACGTTATTTTTCCTGTAGGTGAACTAATAGTTAAATTGTAGGATGTGGATGTCTCTGATTCTTACCCACACCTTACAATCTAACTCTCAGTGGCTACAGATCTCAAATGTCAGGTGCATTTTGTGTATAACTTGGCTTTGTTTGTGTATGT